TTTTGGATGTCACACCTCTGTCTCTTGGGTTAGAAACTGCTGGAGGTGTGATGACTGTCCTGATTCCGAGGAACACCACAATTCCTACCAAGAAAGAGCAAGTATTCTCCACATACTCTGATAACCAACCTGGAGTGTTGATTCAGGTGTTCGAGGGTGAGAGAGCAAGAACAAGAGACAACAACTTATTGGGTAAATTTGAGCTCTCTGGTATTCCTCCTGCTCCTAGGGGTGTGCCTCAGATCACTGTCTGCTTCGATATTGATGCAAATGGTATCTTGAACGTCTCTGCAGAGGACAAGACCACTGGACAGAAAAATAAGATTACAATTACCAATGACAAGGGTAGGTTGTCAAAGGAAGAAATTGAGAAGATGGTGCAGGAAGCTGAGAAGTACAAGGCGGAAGACGAGGATCACAAGAAGAAGGTGGAGGCCAAGAATGCATTGGAGAACTATGCCTACAACATGAGGAATACAGTGAAGGATGAGAAAATTGGTTCTAAGCTTAGCACAGATGACAAGAAGAAGATTGAGGATGCCATTGATCAGGCAATTTCATGGCTTGACAACAACCAGCTTGCAGAAGCTGATGAGTTTGAGGACAAGATGAAGGAGCTTGAGGGCATTTGTAATCCCATCATTGCCAAGATGTACCAGGGTGCTGGTGGTGATGCTGGTGCAGCTATGGATGAAGATGCTCCACCAGCTGGTGCTAGCAGTGCAGGACCTAAGATTGAGGAAGTGGACTAAGTGGTTGATAGATAGTACTAGTAGTTTTTCTTTTTCATTGGTATAGTTTAATAGAGTACTTTGAACTGGCTTTCATTATCATCTAGAGTTTTGTGAATTTCAAACTGGTGGTTTTTCATTATCGCTGGAATTCTTAAATATTTGCATCGATTTTAAGTTAGCAATTCTCTTTTGGATGTCTATTCGAGTTTAAATTTTAAATCCTTAGTTGAATGGACAGGTTACAAAATTAACTTTTGATTGGTGGTAAGGATTGCCTCCAGAACTAGCAAACACGAGTCTATAGATTCAGGAGGCAAGGTCACTTCTTTTTCAAAGTTTTGGATAAAAAGATGTTTTCTATCAAACAAAAGCAACTTCCAAGCTTAAAGGAATTTAGGCCAAATATTTGTTCACCGAGTGTGAGAAAGTGAGCCGACTGAGTCTGTAGCTGCCCTGCCTTTCTGATAGTAATGATGTTGGCTAGTGGACACTATCTAGTAAACATAATTTAACAAGTTAATAATGCCTAATAAAAATGAGTTTTATGGGAGAGGGTCGTTGAAGCGAGGGTGAGGATGACAGTGTCTGTATCCGACAACCAGTTTGGGTTCATGCCGGGTCGTTCTACCACAGAAGCTATACACCTTGTTAGGAGGTTGGTGGAACTGTACAGAGAGAGAAAGAAGGATCTGCATATGGTATTTATTGACCTAGAGAAAGCGTATGACAAGGTTCCTAGAGAAGTTCTCTGGAGATGCTTGGTGACAAAAGGTGTGTCGGTCCCCTATATTATGGCGATAAGGGACATGTATGATGGGGCTAAGACTTGGGTTAGGACAGTAGGAGGCGACTCTGAGCATTTTCCAGTTGAAATGGGGTTACACCAAGGCTCTGCGCTCAGTCAGTTCTTATTCGCCCCGGTAATGGATGCATTAACAAACCATATTCAAGGGGAGGTGCCATGGTGCATGCTATTTGCCGATGACATAGTTTTGATTGATGAGTCACGAGCCGGTGTTAACGAGAGACTAGAAGTTTGGAGACAAACTCTTGAGTCTAAAGGTTTCAAGCTGAGCAGAACGAAGACAGAATACCTGGAGTGTAAGTTCAGCACTGAGCCGGGGGAAGTGGGCGTGGATGTGAGGCTTGAATCACAGGTTATCACAAGCAGAGGCAGCTTCAAGTACCTTGGGTCGGTTATCCATGGCGGAGGGGAGATCGAGGAAGATGTCGCACACCATATTGGGGTAGGATGGATGAAGTGGAGGTTAGCATCCGGAGTTTTGTGTGACAAGAGAGTGCCAACGATACTCAAAGGTAAGTTCTATAAAGCGGTGGTTAGACCGGCCATGTTATATGGGGCTGAGTGTTGGCCTGTCAAAAACTCACATATCCAAAAGATGAAAGTAGCAGAAATGAGGATGTTGAGGTGGATGTGGGGGCACACTAGGTCGGACAAGATTAGAAATGATGACATTCGGGAGAAGGTGCACGTGGCTGCCATTGATAACAAGATGCGAGAAGCGAGGCTCAGATGGTTCGGACATGTACAGAGGAGAAGCCCAGATGCTCCAGTAAGGAGGTGTGAGCGACTGGTTGTGGAGGGCACGAGAAGAGGTAGAGGGCGGCCTAAGAAGTATTGGGGAGAAGTGATCAGGCAGGATATGGCGAGGCTTCAGATTTCCAAGGACACGACACTTGATAGGGAGTTGTGGAGGTCGAGTATTACGGTGGTAGGCTAGGAGGTAGTTGCGTCTAGCGTTACCTTGTACTGTTGTGAGCCTAGTCTAGTAGGGTTTTTGTCTGAAATAGCTAGGGGCATTGCCGTGTCGTACTACTTTCTCTTTTCGGCGCAGGACTTATCCATTAGCCATCATTGTGTTTCGCATTTTTCCTTCTGCATTTTATTTTCCTATTTTTCCTATGATTTCTGTGGTGAAACTAATATTCTCTCCTTTTTGTTTTTCTTATTATCTTGAGCCGAGGGTCTTCCGGAAACATCCTCTCTACTCCTTCGGGGTAGGGGTAAGGTCTGCGCATATACTACCCTCCCCAGACCCCACTTGTGGGATTCTACTGGGTTGTTGTTGTTGTTGTTGTTGTTGTTGTGTTCCCGTTCACATTTTTCCCCATCAACTGCATGATATGTTATTGGGTTTGAATAATCGACTCAACTACTAATCAAGCGCCATTAATTTGTAAACTTATAGTTTTACCACCTGTTGTTCATGTGTTATTTTCAAGTGATCTACTATATATTTTGGGCTTTCGGGTGTGTTTGGTAGGAAGGAAAATATTTTCCGGAAAATGTTTTTCAATTTTTCCATGTTTAGTTGGCTTAAATGTTTTGGAAAACATATTCCTTATGAACTCATTTTCCTCCGATTGGAGGAAAATATTTTTCTTATCAAGAGAATAGAAAATATTTTTTCCAAAATTCCTTCTCAACCTTCCCACCATATTCCCCACCCTCACCAACCCACACCCCCACACCCACCCACCCCAACCCCACCTCACGCCCTACACCCACCCCACCCCCTCTCTCCAAAAAGGGTTTTTTTTTTTTTTTCAAATTTCAGTTTTTTTTCGTCACCACCCACCCTGCTACCCACCCCTCCCCCGCAAATTTATATTTTTTTACTTTTTTTTTAATTTTAAATTTCTGTTTTTTTTTGTTCTGCACCACCCACTCTCACTCTGCCAAATCCCACTTCCATTCCCCCCCTCCCCCGTCAAGTTTTTTTTTACTTTTTTTTTGTAATTTTAATTTTTTGTTTTTAAATTTTTCTGCACACCAGGTCCTGTCCCTCAGCCCCCCCCCAGGAAAAAATATTTTTTTATATATTTTCTGTTTTAGTTTGTTCATCTTTCGGTTTACAAATTCAAAATTTTACATGTTCCAAAGTTATGAGTTCGGAAGTGTTATGAGTTCGAAATTTTACTCCAAAGGTATGTGTTCATTGTTGAATTAGAGGATGGAAGTATTACTGAGATTAAATCACGAGACGTTACATTTCTGGAAAATAATTTTTCAAAGAAGTGCGACGTAAAGAATGGAGAGCCTCTTTATGAAATGTTGAACTCAGGTGGTCAGCAAGTGTCTTCTGAAATAGTTGATAATCAAATTGATCAAGATCTTATTTTTGATCTGAGTGGGAGTGGAAACTCTCAATTCCCAAAATCCTTCTGACGAACCTGAATTTCAACTATGAAATATTATCAGGAAAAATATACCCAAACGTACTTATGCGATTAAAGATTACGCTTTCTTGGTATATCCCACAGAAATGGATGAGCCAAAGTATGTGACTAAGGCTTTATCGAGCCCTGAAAAAGATGAGTGGATGAAAACAATTGAAAGAAGAATTAGAATCCATGAAAACCAACATAGTATGGGATCTAGTTGACCTTCCGTATGGGATAGAGCCATTGGGAACAAATGGGTTCTCAAAGTTAAACGCAAAACGGATGGGTCAATAGAAAGATACAAGACACGATTAGTGGAAAAAGGCTTTACTTAAGAAGCTGGAATATATTATGAGGAAACATTTTCACCAGTTGTGAAATTTACCTCAATTCGCTTACTTTTGGCTATAGTTGCACGTTTGGATTTGGAATTACATCAAATGGATTGAAGACAGTTTTTCTCAATGGAGAACTAAACTAATAAATCGACATGGAACAACCTGTCGGCTTCATCGTTAAAGGCCAAGAAAATAAAATATTTTCTCTATGGAGAACTAAACGAATAAAATATTTTTTTAATATTATTTCAGTTTTAGTTTTTTCATCTTTCGGTTTACAGATTCGAAATTTTACAAGTTCCAAAATTATGAGTTCGGAGGTTTATGTGTTTGGAAGTTTACGGGTTTAGAAATTATAAAGTTTACTTGTTCGAAAGTTTGCGGTTTCGAAAGTTTAACGGTTCGGAAGTTTGTGAAATTTGTGAGTTCAGAAGGTTGTTGGTTCGAAAGTTAATGGCTTCATGTTTATTGTATCTAAATTGTTTATGAATATTCATGAGAAGTTATTTTCCTTAATTTGCGTACCAAACACCGAATAATGAATAAGATTACTACATGTTTTCCAAAAATTTTCATTATACCAAACACACCCTTCGTCTGGGACGAATTTCATAAAAGAGAAAAAAAAATCCGAACAACAGTTACTTTTCTTAAGAAGCTAAATACCAGGATTGCAATAATATTAAGCATTGACAGTTCTTCCAAATGCAGGCATCCATCTTAAACTCTCTCCAGCACCAAATAAAAGACATAACACTACCGCAGAAAGCTCTTCAACTGTAATATTATAGTAATTTATTTACAAGGAAAAAAATGTGAACTTCACATCAAAGTTTACAGTTGAACCATTGCCTGACTTTGTAAAGGTTTCAGCTTCTATTTGTATCGGTTTCTTTCTTCCATCGTTCCTGAAAAAACAGTCTGGGAGTTCTTGTTAACATTGTCAGAAGTACATTATTAAATCTTAACTCATATTCACCTCCTCCGCCGCCCTGCTACAAATCGAAAAGTCATGGATAAAATCCAAATACAGCAATACATGGTAAAAACTTTTATATCTCGGCATCTGATTGGAAAAGATGGCACAACAGTTTGGTGGTTTTCTATCTATGGAAGGAAAGAGCAACATATTTATCATAATTGGGTTTTTCTTCTTTTAGAAGAAAATTATAAATTTTTCATACTTGACTAGTCTTTTCTCTTGAAGGAAAATGTTTGGACTTCTATAAATTGAGGATTCTTCATTCTTATTCAGTAGCATCCACAATATAGACATATGGGGTTTGAGAGTCTTGTTTAGGTGGGAGGGCTTTTCGAGACAAGTGTTAGTGTGACACTTGTGTTTGTCTCTTTGTGAGGTTGTTCTCTCGATATTTTGTGCTCTCTTTTATATAGTGGATTGTTCATCTACGCCGCAGACATAGGTCAATTGATTGAACCACGTTAAATGTTTGTGTCTTGCTTCCGCGTGACACCTGATTTTTTCGGTCTTAACAAATGGTATAAGAGCGAGATTCATCTTAGCAGGTTTAGTTCTAGCCTCAACGTATTTGATGATAATCATGATTTTTGTTTGAGAAATTTGACCTGAGTGTTACTCATGTTAAGACAAACTTTGTGGTGCAGATTTGGAGATCCGACCTGTTTAAGGTTATATGATGAAGGTGTATCAAGTTTGTTTTGTCTGAAAATTTAGGCCAAGGGGTAGAATTGCTAGGTGTTGTCCTGATTTTCTTAAGCAACATAGTTACCATAGTTGGATTTTCCTTCTTTTAGAAGAAAATTATAAATCTCTTATATTTGGCTAATCCCGTTTCTTGGAGGAAAATGTTTGGACTTCTATAAATTGAGGATCATTCCTTCTTATTCACTAGCATCCACAATGTAGTCATATGGGGTTTGAGAGTTTTGATTAGGGGAGGACTTTTTGGGACTGGTATTAGTGCGACACTTGTGCTTGCCTCTTTGTGAAATTGTTCTCTCGATATTTTGTACTCTTTTTTATATAGTGGATTGCTCATCTCTACCGTAGACGTAGGTCAATCGACCGAACCGTGTTAAATAGTTGTCTCTTTTGATATATTTCTCTTCTATTTGATTTATTGTTGTTCAAGTATTGCTTCACTAGCTTCCGTATGATACCTGATTATTTCGATCCTAACAACACAAAGGCGTAATACCGCAGCTAATGTTATACACAAGTAACTTGATGCAAACTACCTCCTTCCCCCGTTAAGCCTCTGAAGTGATAATTAATGCTACCCCAAGGCTTTCTGTTTTTGTCACTCTGCAGAAAAGGTGTATCACTGTTAATGTCAGGAACTATATGCTATTCGTAGCAATCAAATGAATAAAACCATATCCCTTTCTAAATAACAATGAAGAACAGAAAGTAAATAGGGTTTGCTCATATACTCATGCTAAGAGCCAAATAATCGTTAAATTAAAACACCAGAATAAGTGCCTGAGCCTCCATGCATGCACTTAAACTAAGTTGATCCGACACATCAAAATAGGTGCCGCACCCATGTCTACATGATATTAGTATGGGTGTGGGTGTGAGATCCATACAAGATCTGGTCAAACAATTTTGGGTACTTACTACAACAGACGGAAAAATTCGAGACGAGATACAATTTGATTCTCAAAATCAGAACCAAAACTAGGGTAAATTTGAAGAAAATAACATACTTTATCTAGGAAATCAATCTTTTACTTAACTACAACTTGATAATAAAAAAAGAAATCCATGCTTTACAAGCTATACGTAAGCATTCCACAAAATTTATCATAATTTAGAGATATTTATATTTTTATTGTTTTGAATTATTTTTACCCACACCTGTATCCGTACTAGGATCCATATCCCGAAATCTTAGAATTTACATCTCGAAGGGTCCGACCTCTAGATTCGCACCCGTGTCAAACACCCGCACCCGTGTCCGAGCAACTTAGCACTTAAAAGTGATTTTTGCCTGCCACGTTTATCATCCTTGTTATGATTCAGTGTCAAACAATTAAGAAATGTGTTCTTTTCCGAAGTTCTTTGGGTTTATGTATAAGGTACCAGCTTTGCGGCCCATCAAACTATCAAGTATAAAAGAAAGGGAAAATTACCAGCTATGTTAATTTATAAGTAGCTCATTACAAAAATTGGCCAATTGATAAAATATTACTAATATTAGCCAAATTAGCCAATTAGCTATTTGTAGCAAAAAAATATCAAATTTTTGCTTTGTTTTGAGTGGGTGTTATTAGAATAGATTGGGCACAACTTAAGGAGCTTGAATCTCATTTTTGGGATGATTTGCTGAAGTTTTGAGGTGGTTTGAATTGAAAATTCGAAGTAAAAACTGAACATGGAAAAAAATGATATGTGTATCATTTGTGTATCACATATGTATCATATTTGTATCAATTGTGTATCACGTGTATATCCATGTATACCTGTGTGTGAGATACATGCGTGATACATGTTTGATACATGTGTCGCAGAAGACTTTTTTGAACTCGATTTAATCAAGAATTTTGATACAAAACTAGTCCAAATCAACTCCAATCTTCCTCAAATTTTGTATATTGACTTATCTATATATTTTCAATGGATTTCAACTATACCCATTGAAAAAGTTCCTGTTTTGTTTAGATTTTTGGAATATTGTATAGATTTTTATATTTCATCACCTTATTTGCTACCCCGTCCATGAAATTTCCTTTCCGTCTTGTATCTAATGTTGCTAATCACGCTTAAAAATATAGATGGTGATTTTTGCATGTGATTCTTTGATAGAAAGAACCCTATTATTTGGGTTTTCAATTTTTGTTGGCTAGTTTTGGTAAGTCTATGACTAATGGCTAGAGGTTGGTAAGTTGAGATTTATATGGGACATTTATGTAAGTTTCCCTAAAAGGAAAAGATTAGCCTTGGTATAGCAATAAATCAAATCTGCAGTGAGGCTTGTACGAGAAGTAAATGCAAGCAACTCGCTGAGTAGCCATACAACGTTACAATCTTCAGGGAAAATATAAACTCTATACTAGAGCTTCAACGAAATCTTTCCAAAACATGATGTTAGAAATTTGATTTATTGAATTTTGTTTATTGACCTTGGTGGAAATATTCTCTCCTATAGTTATTGGTACATCGATGAAAGGTTTATGTCTTTGAAATGGTGCGCCCCCTTCCCCGGCCCCTCCTCTTGTCCAGCACTTCAGAGTCAATCTGGTTTATTATTGAGTCAAGAGGATCAAATTATCAAAAGGACATTCAAGGAGCATAGAATTTGATGATACTAAGTTAGATTTTACTCTTTTGTTTGAAAGTAAAATCCCAAATTTCAACCGATTAAAACTGGATGGTACTGCTATCGCACTTGGTTCCTAACAAGTCGTATTACCCTTGCAGATACTATGTTAACATTAGCTACTCGCAAACCCTATCAGCACTGAATACCCACAATTCAGCTCTACTCAGTCCTCTTATAAGCCACTAAATGTACCTTCTCCCAAATTTTTCAATCCTAAACTTGCCCCTCCCTCACTGAAATAACAAGGAAAACTTGATTCCTATTGTTCTTTTTGAAGTAGCTTGAGGTACTAGAAGAAACCATACTTTTTTCAAAAGCATTACCTGTAATGTGACAATAGACGACACTTCCAACTAAGCACTGCATCAATGTGTACAATCAGGCATGTCTTATATACCAACACACTGAAGTATTTATTATTGGGGAAAAATGTCTGTTCCCCTAAACCCCTTTCTCTGAGTCTAAGCTTCTCATCTCCCTTCTTCTATCTGTGTGTCTTCTCCTATATCCATAGTTGTCTATATTTAGTATTTCCATTGTTATCCTACAATTTGAGTTAGGCTATTAGTAATTGTAATAGAGTTTCAGTTATTATCAATGTACATTGAGATTGTAGTATTCGTTACAGAAACAAGTCTTATCATACAAAAAGATTTGGTTAAGAGTCTTCGAAAAAACTTATCATTATTATCAATATGGAATATAAAGTTCTCTAATAACCTAACTTTAACTCAATAGACCTTATGGATAGAAGCATTTTATCTCACCAGGTACCTTAACTCAATCCTGTACGATTCTTAAATTTGAGATGATATAGAATCAGTTGTTTGGAATATGATGACATTGAATTTTACATAGAATCAGTTGTTTGGAATATGATGACATTGAATTTTACAACTTTCACCCAAAGTGCTCAAAACTAACAAGAACCAGAGCGCTATAAAACTACGACGGGAGGTTGTCTTAGAAATAAGTTCTTTTGATTATCAATTGTTTGTTTCCTAATTCTCTGTTTCCCTTGTCTTAGAGAAATATTCACAACTGATAACTAAGACTGAAAAGCTAGATTATACATCTCACAACTTAGAAGCCATTAGCATAGAAGCAAATAAAAATGCACAGTAACTTGTAAAAATTAGTGCAAAGAAGGAAACGTACAACTGCAATTCGCGGGAGAAAGAGATTCCGACTGAGTTCTCCCCGGAGGAGAAGGTTCGCGAACTTGGTCGAAGAAAGTCGAGAAACTCTTGCGTACTTTCAAATTGGGCCTAAACGGGCCAAATTGGAGTACGGATTTGGAGTCCACTTTAAGGATTTGTGCTTATGTTTGAAACCCATATAGGACCTAGAGCCCGTTTGGATGGGCTTATTTTAAGTAGCTTTTAAGCTAAAATAGTTTTTAAGCCATAAGTTAGGATTTTTAGCTTTTGGCTATTGGCTTGTTTTTGTCATTTTAGCTTAAAAATAAGTACTCAAAAGAACTTTTTTTTTTTACTTTATCCAAACACTACAAAATGGCTTAAAAGCACTTAAAATAAGCCAATCCAAACGGGCTCCTAATCTTTTTCTTTTTGAAAAACTGGAATAATTTATTCATTAATACTACGAAACAGACATAGGATCCATGGGATCGTTATATATAACTGAGATGCCTTCCATGACATTCAGATTTCCTAGTTTAGCAAGCTTCTTACGGATACTTTCAATGACTAACTTATTAATAGAAGGGAAACCCTCCTTGTCCGCCAGCATCCTGGACTCAACAATGGTGGGGGGACTACAAAACACATTAAGTTATCTGGATTGGGTTGCCTAGTTCCTTCCTGTGCCAGCAGGTGAGCTACTACTTCGTTCCTTGTCGAAAGTTATGCCGGAGCACCAGCTCCCTCCCCTTCTTAGACATCAACCACCTACAAATGTGAAGGATATAGTTGTAAGTGGTGTGACCATCTTCCAAAAGTTTAATTACATGTGCCAGGTCAGTTTCTATTTCTAATGGCAAAATGTTATGTTGTAGTGCCAATTCCAAGCCCTTTCTTAATGCAAGATTTCTACATGTGTATGATGGGTTTATAGTACCTTAGCTTTATGTTTTGATGATCTAACAAACTTACTGTCAAAGAACCAGATAAGGAACCTGATACACTTGGTACATAACTCAACCAACGGATTCAAGCTTATGTGGGTTGCTATGACTTCAGCAGATAAAGAATCAACACAGGGACCTGATCCCCTTGGGTTCTCCTAACAGCAGTACGAAGTCAACTCTATACAGCTGAAAAGTGACTGCCTGCACTGAACACGCAAACAATGCAGCACAGTACAGCAGTCACTTCTCATTTGGAAGGACCTTGTACCAACCAAGTGACTACATCATTCAAGTGATGTCATCCAAGTTGTATTAACAAAAAACATTACAGCAAAACATCTCTTGAACACTTGAGAATTCATTCAAGCATTCTAAGCATCTCACAATCAAGCATTCAATTCTCAAGTGCATCAAGAACAAAGTACAACACTACTACGGACCAGTCCCTATAACGAGTCTCTTGTATGTCCTTAGTTAAGTTGTAACTTTGTAATTGTTCTTCATTGTAAATCCTACTTTGCTTATCTAGAAGCTTTGACTAGGAACCCTTTGTAAATCATAAACCTTTAATGTTTGTGTCGTGACTAGAGTTAGTCATGAGTTGAAGTCTTTGTATTAGGTGTATTGCAAAGTGGCTTGTAATAGGAGTATTACAAGTTAGTAAGGGATTAAGAATCTAATTCCTAGGTTGCATAGGTTGTAATCTAAAGATTGCTCATAGTGAAGTTGAAATCCTACCAGTGTAGGTCGTGGTTTTTGATCTCCTTGAGAAGGGATTTTTCAACGTAAAAGTTCCCTATTCCATTTACTTATTGTTGTATTACCCTTATCTGTGGAAACCTATATCGAACCTGGTCTCTATATAGTTTGGTGGACTCATATATTCTATGAATTGGTATCATAGCGGGTTTTCTCTATCAGGTTAACACCTAGAAAGGATCCTCATGGCTGCTCCACTAAACTTTGAAGAGGGCCGGTCTACCTATAGACCACCCAGATTCAATGGCAAATATTATGGGTGGTGGAAGACAAGGATGCATGACTTTATCATGGCTGAAGATTCCGAGCTGTGGGATGTTATATGTGATGGTCCTTATGTCCCTACAAAAAAGGTCGGAGATCCTGTTGTGACAGTGCCTAAGACGAGGAAAGAATACAACGATGCTGACAGGAAGGCTGGGGAGAAAAATTTTCGTGCCAAGAAATTTTGGTGTGCGGTATAGGTCCTGATGAATGTCGATGCCCCCTTTTTCTAAAGGCGAAATCGGGTTTACGACATTTGGGCGGACAACTCTATTCCTTTTCGAAATTTGGGTTTTTGAGATTTAGAAGAGTCGCCACCTAATGATTGAGTGCATTAGGACACCAAGGAATAAAAAAAGAAAGAACCAGAGAACGGGTAAGGGCTTGAAATTATCCCAGGGGGAAGGTGTTTGGCACCCCCCAAGATCCACTAGTGTGGTTCCCGGCCATGCTACAATTTGTGACTTTAAAGCGAATAAACATACAAGATGACTTCACATAACGATTACAAGTAGGATTATATAAAGGTTAAATAAGCATGCTGAAGTTAGGGAATAGATGGTTTCATGCTTGTTTAAAAGAATGTATAAATGCAGAAAAATGAGGGTCAAGTAACGAATGCAAATAATCAGACAAAGAAGTAAAATGGGCGGAAGTTTAAAAAATGAAAACAGTGCTGGAAATTCCAAAGAGGTTTGAATTAAAGTGAAATACAAAGTTTAAAGAACTGGAAAACTGACGTAAGCACATATGGAGGGAGGGGGATCCTAGGTTTATAAATAACATGGATCATCCACGCAACACCCGGTAACCAATTATACGCGTGGTGTTATCACGTGATCATCATCTCCATGTCTACCCTTTCCCACCCCGTTTAAGGTATTAAAGCG